TTTCCGTGCTGTTCTCCAGGGGCGTTGTAAATTAAAGGCGGAGCTTTGCGACTATCATGAAGCAGTCTGAGCCAATGTGGGCTCCGCGTCATGCCCGAGTGTCGCGAATGGCAAGTCTCCACTTCCTGCTTGCTCCTAAAGCGGTCACCTAGCACTGTGTACGTCAGCTGATTGATTTGACAGTGCGGAATCAGCATACAGCCTACGATGAGGCCTTGCTTGAAACAAAGGTCTGTCTAACTGTAAGCCGTGTTGACCGAGAGACGAGTTACAGTTGTCATCGCTGATCTGCTCGGTTAATGTCATCTGCTACAATCGAGACGTGGAAGAGAACCGCGAAGTGCTTGTAAACACGCGTTGAATTCGCCCTTTCTTTGAACTTCCATCACATTTGCGGGATGCTGGTTCCCCATTGTCAAATCAACCAGCTGACGTACACAGTGCCAGGTGGCCGCTTTAGGAGCCAGCAGGAAGTGGAGAAACAACGCTGTGCATGACCACAGCGTTGAACTTCACATGCTTTGTTGCGAGAAGGCAAACCAGCGTCGGGTATTCGACGGTGGTCAAAGCTTTCGCTGCCCGTGGCGAGAGTAGCACTGCGACTCTTAACTCGCGTCAGAAATCCGAATTTCCAGACCAGAGAAGCTGTCATTCGTTTTCCAGGCGATCTTCATTGTTGGTGAAGTACGTTTCTAAGAGCGCAGGAATGTCGAGGTAGTACCGCTCTGCTGTACGCATAACGTTGTCCATATTGCCGTCTCCGTTTAAGATTCGCACGTTCCAGCAGACGATACGGACCTTCTTGCTGATTGATATTGATTGACTGAATGTCAGATTTCCTGGTGTCAGGTCTTCTGACCTGTGGACTACACCATTCATCACGCAGGCGTCGCGTGACCTGGTCCCATATCTGAGCGAATGCGCTGCACGACTGTTCTCGGCACCGTACAACCAAACAATATATAACGTAATGGTAAGCGGTGTACACAGACTGGATAATCAGACGTAGTAGGGCGAGGTATATAGAGTAGGATAGGTCAAGACGCGTCGTTTTTTCGTTGACATCCTCAGAAGTAATCTAAAGCTTGCTCTGGAAAGATTCGCAGCTGAGTGCAACGTGGCCGGCGTGCATATGAACGTGTCTATACCAGAAGCCTGTGCTTTCGCCTTCCCCCTCCATTTGTGCCCTGCCAACAAACGGAGAAGCAGTGGAGCAGGCGGAGAAGTTCACTTACCTCGGGGTCGTGTTTATTGGGGACGATAAATTGGAGGAAGAAACTGACGGGCTCTGCAGAGAGACTGTGTTCAAGTCAGTTTTTATCCCCATGTGACCTATAATCATGGGTTATGGGCCATGAATGAAAAAATACGATTCAAGATACATGCGACCGAAATGGGCTTCCTGTTACAGATCCCTTAGCTCATGCTACTCGACAGAGTACAATTTTCAAATTTCCGAGAAAGTCTTGATGTTCGGTCGCCGCTTTTCCAGATTGAGAAGTCACAGCTCGAGGTGTTTTGCTTTATCCGTTTTGCGGATTTTCCAGAATTGAAGAAGAAAAGTTTCGGCTTCTTCGACCGACCTGCTGAAGACTCCGGGGAAGGCCAAGAATGATATGGAGAGAGTAAGTGCCTCATCGGACTCAGTTTCCAGGTTTAGGTTATATCCTGCAGAAGTTCAGACGCTAGCACAGATTCGCGAGCGTTGGAGACATTCCTTTATGCTTCTCATTCCTGAAAGATTATGGGGTCATCGAATCTGAATGGCTAGTATATGGCGTTTATGAGACAGCAGTTTCCACGCAGATTAAGTAGGATTTATGCTAGGTTTGGTTTAACTTGTATATAAACACAGTTGATCTGCTTGTTGAAATCTGATATTTGTGAAGAAGAACCCTTTTGTTTACGAACAGGACGAAACATACATCGCGGAAGGTGATTCTCACGCACTGTTTCATCGTTATCTGATTGAACAGCAGAGTTGCCCAGACTGGTAACGTCTGGCTCCCTGCGAATTATGCCTCAGATTTATAGGAGGAGCTTACTGATGAACGATAAAGGTGATGTTCCTTATTGCAAACAGGTCAGTTTCTGCGAAGTGATTCCATGTCATTATCTTGCCTTGCGTGTACGGCCACGTGTGCGTTTCCCAGGCAATCATTTTTTGAACATGTTTATGTTCTCGTTCAGTGCCATTTTATCAAATTAGGCCTTTCCCCGGTTCTTAAATTCTTCTGATAGGTTTCTCAGACGGCTGGTCATCAGGACAACTTTGCTGCTCAAAATTTGTTAACATTAGATGTGAGTAACACATATGTGAGAATCACCTTCCGTGACGTGTTTTGTCGCCTTTGGAAACAAGAAAAGAACCCTCTTTTTCTTTAAACGCAATGATTAAGCTTGGGTTTCTGCTTAGGTGTAATTTAGCTTATATGTAAACACTTAGCTGATCAAGGCACAACTGGGAAATTTTAAGCAATAAGACAGGATGTGATAAAGAGGTTCGTTGGATTAAAGTTTATGAGAATAATAGAAAGCGGAAGTTTTGGGTGTATTTTTGGAATCTTGGAGAGACCTTCATCCAGCAGTAGATAAAAACATGATTATGACATCGTGAGACGAATGCAAATTTTCGGCGAGGAGCGTTGATTAAGTTTTAAAGAAGGATGTTCGTTGTTTCTTGTTTTGACGTTATCGTTGGACTTTTGCACAACTGCGTGATACTTAATATTCGTGATGTCCGCTCATCATAACTTTCGTTAGAGATGATATTTACTCTATCAACGAGTGCTTCATCGACAACAAATCGGTTAAATTTCCGTGCAGGCCGTCGACCCTTTGTCCTTCGTCGTTAAGTTTCATCATCAGCAGCTGATAAGCTGTCGAGGCTTTTTCACTTCCTTTTTCTTGACTGAGCAATTTTCTTACTCTGGATATGTGTTCCTTCGATTCTTCTTCTTGCGTATACGGACTTCTCCTGCGATATGCGGTGAGGTTGGCTAATGCTAGAACACAGTCGTTCTGGATACGGCCATATCAGTTCATTTTCAGTTTCCATATGAACAAGCGCTGTTGAATGCATTTCAGTCATGGATTCACCTGTAGTTAAGAGCGATTTCCAGGCAGTCGGTAAGTGCTGAAGTTATTTCGGTATTGTGCAGTTTGCGATGAAGAATCGAAAGCGTTATGGTGCGTATGTCTATACCAGTAAGCGCTTACACAGACATTAACCGTTTCGTGTCATATAGTAGTTTTTTTTTTGCTTATGCCGTTTTTCTTAACTTGTTTTGCTTTTAATTGCGGCAGTATTTCATTGTTACATTAAACCGTCAGAAACTAAGTTGAAATGAAAGACCATAAATGTTGTTGGTTGTGCATTGTTTTTGCTTCGACTTAAAAGATATATGATCGATTCAGGAAATGCGCCGCAGGCGAACTGAGATGACAGTGGAGTTGCGTAAGAATAAAAGGTACGAAACGGTGTTTAAAAAGCGCAACGTGCCTGTTGTAACCGACGACGGTAATGAAAAACACGAACGCCTTTCTTTATTTAACATTGTTTGATTCGATTGTAGATGATGAAGTTAATGCGCCAAGGGCAAGCTTAGAGAATTTTGCAGTCATTGTCGAGAACGCTCAAAGTCCGGTGCTGGAAGTACAGTTGGATGCAGTTCAGCAGGCAAGGTATAGCACCGTTGATGGCGGTATCAGGCGTTGTTACAAAGTGGTCATTATTTTAGGAAGCTGTTATCCAGTGATAGAAATCCACCTATCAACGAGCTGATTGATGCCGGCATCTTGCCTATTTTGGTTAATTACTTAAAAGATGATGATAAGTATGCCGGATTTCGAATTTATTTGTATTGTCTACATGTTTCCATTTATGTTTATTTTAGTCCGACTCTGCAGTTCGAAGCCGCATGGGCATTAACCAACATTGCTAGCGGCAACAGTGACCAAACGAAGGCTGTCGTTACTGCTGGTACCCACTACACGACTACTGTAAATTGTCTCAAACCCCTTGTTGTTTTCAGGCGCAGTTCCACTGTTTCTGCATTTACTCAATTCTGAATCAACTAACGTGTGTGAACAATCTGTCTGGGCTCTTGGCAATATTATTGGTAATAATATATCCTCTCACGAATCCTCTAATCATTTGTCGGCGCACAGTTAACGTCGCTCTGTACACCAGTCATCTGAAAGGCATTCTCTTTGATGGATAGTTTGCAATATAGCGCTTGTAGCGTTCTGTACTGTGAAAGTTACCATATTAGTATTACTGCCGGGAGCATACTCGCATCTTTATAACATGAATATACGAGTTAGTGCAAGTAGCCGATTTGGCTGTCTGATCAATGTTGATATCTGGTTTCTTCATTTTTCGTTCGTTTTTCCTTGGTGGCAGTAAGTTCTTTCCTGTTTTGAACTGCAGGTTACTTTGTAATAGAATACCCATCATATTTTGTGTGCAGTCCTTGAAATCATGCAAGGCGGAAATTCTTCGCTCGAAAATAATTTCCCCATTAGCTTAACGTAACAGAATAACCTTTCGGCTCTAAATGTACACAGCCTTCTGCACACCACTTAAACGATCTCCTAATCTTACAAGCATCCTTACCTTGATGAAGACCCGTGACACGCGGCCAAAGCGTCAATATCATTCAATCTTTCGATTGCCTCTTGTGTTGAAAATAAGATGTTTCGTTGCTATTTTTCAGTATAACTATTAATAACACCATCGAAATATAATGCTTCAATCAACTTTTGTCAGTGTAATAAAATCGGTGGTGGTTACAGTTGAATGTTTTATTGCCATTCTTTTGATTTTATTGCTTAATTGACATTTTATCGTATCATGCCTGCAGTACTAATTTAATATATGAGTAGTCTGTATATTATGAATATGCAAACAACTCCACCAAACCTTACGGCACCTCTCCCCTACTCCACTTTTACGGAGTTTTGCTACACCGGACTTCAGAGAGAATCGAATGTCAATCATGTATAGAGGAAGGTAAATGTAGAGAATCTCCATGCCATGTTTCATCAAATATGTAACTCAAAACGCTTCCCTAGAGAATGGAAGCGTTGAGTAATTTTCCCTACACTTAAAGGTGGTCGGGTGACCAAGTGTTCCAGTTATCATGGTGTCACACTACTGTCAGTCTTCGGAAAAATTTTCTCGTGAATTATCCTGAATAGCTGATGAAGGCAATTGATGAAAGACTTGGCCCAAATCAAGGAGGCTTCAGAATTACGTGCTGTTGAACAAATGACCAAATTTCCGCAAATTTCCACGGAGCAATATTTCCGAATAGTGTCGACGAACCCAGTTGCTTTAGTTTGCCAGTTTCCTTGATTTTCAAGCAGTGCTTAATTCACGACATCGTCAGACGATGCAGTCTTGAAATGTTATCAGATACCTTATCTTTTCCGTATTCTTGGCCGGAAAGGTACACCTCGATTATGAAACAGAGGTCATTATATTTATGCCACCAAGCAAATGCCCCTGAACGTATGTGATGCAGGGTAATTTTAGTTGACATTTTTCAGTAGAAAACAGTTTCATGCGCCGTCAAGTAAGGTAATTTTTGAACATCACTTTTAAGAGTGGTTCAACTCCGCAAACGTGCAAAATTTTTCAGACCTTTCGAAACTCGAAGGTTTGGAACTTTTGTCATAGACGAGTTTTGGTGCTTATGCTTGATAATATTTCAGACTTGTTTTTAGGAGATGGTCCTCATTTTCGAGATTACTGCATTCAGCTCGGCATCGTTCCACCTTTGTTGTCTTTCATTCAGCGCGACATGCACATAAGCTTTCTCCGAAATGTTACCTGGGTTATTGTCAATCTCTGTCGCAACAAAGAGCCAGTGTTGTCAGCAGACGTGATACAGCAACTGCTGCCTGCTCTTTGTTACTTAATTCATAACGAAGACGTAAACGTATGATTCTTCGAACTGTCGTCGCACATTTTCCGATGCCATGCACTTCGTCCATTTCAGATATTGGTCGACACTGTTTGGGCTTTGTCATATTTGACCGATAGTGGCAACGAACAGATTCAGGTTGTTTCACGTTAATGTTTTATGGTAAACGTTTCTCTTGTAGATGGTGATCGATTCGAATGTCGTCAAAGATCTAGTGCCGTTACTCGGTCATCCAGAGGTTAAGGTGCAGACGTCCTCACTGAGAGCCGTTGGAAACATAGTCACGGGAACTGACGAGCAAACACAGGCTGTGCTCGATTGCGGCGTACTCAAGTACATGCCTGATCTGCTCACTCATCCGAAGGAAAAACTGAAAAAAGTAAGAGATTTCGTTTCGTTCATGTCTCTGCATCTCATCTGATTGCCATTTTTATTTTAACCATTTAGGAAGCCGTTTGGTTTCTGAGCAATATTACGGCGGGAAACAGTTCTCAGGTGCAGGCTGTGATCGACGCGGGACTCATTCCAATGATAATCTATTTGCTGGAGAAAGTAATCATCGTTTCGTTTTAATAACCATTTTCGCTTAAATCGTTGTTTCGCGCTAAGCGGTTCGAACTGCATTCCGCTTAGATACATTCTTAACCCGCAGTTGTAACATTCTATTAAGAGTAACGTTTCGGTTTCAACATAGAAAATCCTTGTGTTCTACTGTCCTGTTTTTTTAACGAAACAATAATGGCCTAGAAGCGTCTCATTCGTTAAAGCAGTAATTTATGCTTGAAATCACATTATCTTGCCTACCTCCCATAGACGTAGTTAGTTTAACCATGTATCCCATTGTGCAGCTTCTAAATGGCGATAATTACACCCATGCTTCCCACAGATATTTGCTTTTTATGCAGGTTTTCATTATGTAGTAACCCGTTTGCGAAAGAATATATAGATGAAACGACGCAGATAGACTTGTCAAGCTAATCCAGTTATTAAATACTTGTTCTTCATTCGAGTCTCGTAACTGTTCTACTAGTGTAATACTTTGAGCATTATGTTGCTTCAGATGAAAAAGGAAGGCTTACAACGAAACCAAAGTCTTGATCACGTTTTGCTGCATAACTGGAAGCTTAGTCTTTAGTGGCTATCTATAAGAAGTTAATTTAAATCCTTTAGAGATGGGGGTAGTCATCATAAGCCTCTTTCTTAAATTTATTCATTGCAAATACTGGTGACACTGCTGCGCAGCATTTTGAGACAGAAGAAATTCCTATCTTAATGGCGAAAACAACAATGAAAATCGTTGAAAGATAACAGCAGAGTTGCTAGGGTAAACGAAACCGCACCTGAAATCATAACGGCTTTTGTGTGATTCGTGTCAGAAGGTTTGGCAGAGCACTGAAGCAATTATGATCAAAGATGATAGTTCTCACGTTGCATAATGGGCATGGGAAAATCTGCAGCTACCTCATTTGTCGGGGCATTATCACTGGTAAATACTATTTTAAACGTTTAGAAAGTTGCTTCAAATTGGTAGAACAAAGGGTTCAGGGTGAGCGGTAGGACTTTCGTTCCGGTTGCAGTATAGTGATCAGGTTTCTCCATAGGTATGAGGAACATTGGGACTGTGTCCCTAAGATCTGTGTCCGTGTATTAGGCACTGCGGAGACTTACGAAAATAGGTATCGGTCAGAGCTATGGAGTATTGTAAGAGTAAAAAGTAGGCGACCAACGACAACGACAGATATTTTTATACGACTGCTTAGAGGTTTGTTTCATTAAAAAGTCTGTGTTTTTCAGAGTGCGTTGAACTCCGTCAGGATGCAGTTTGTCTCCGCTCCGTTTCGTAATTTATATAAGTTAAATTTGCATACGCAGCCGGGCAAATTACAGCTATCTGCTCTTTGTAAGTAATCTTGTGGTATTCGCATTCTCTGATACTGATCTCGCAATTGATCATTTCGCTTCTAAATGTGATTAGGCCGGGATAAAAATCATCGCGACCAAAACATTCTTTTATACGTTATACTTTCGAGAAAACTCATTTGATGTGCTCTTCAAGTTAGTGGAGTACAACTGAGACGTATAGTTTAACTATCGTATGGTAGCATTTACGAGTAAAGGCAGCGATTGAATGGACTTGAAATCAAGCACCGATTGCCAGCGAGTGCAGTAATGCGACAGCTACACAGATCTGCCGTAATGAAGAAAGGGCTAACCGTAAATGTTGAGCTGTCTGTCTTCGCGTCTGTATGCTTTCTACTTTTTCTGTGACCATGAGTGATGCCTACCAATTTCGCAGTAATTAGCTATCGCTTTACCACTGAAATTGCTGGCACCTTTTGCGCTTCTTCGTACTGCCTTCAACTTGAAGACTCTTTGCCTCTATACCATGTGTTAAATATAGCCTTCTCGCTCGCAGCCGGTTGAACCTCTAGTGTCCATCGGTAGTTTCGTTTCTGACCTCAAGGCATCAGGCCAACCTGTTTTAGTCAATGCGTTTGCCCAGCATTTTACCTCGGAGCCGGCGGATAGTGTGCTAGAATACCTAGTTGGCCGCCTGGAAATGTGATTCGAACACTTCACCGAATTTCCCCCCGGAATCAGCTTTGACTTTCGCCACTGCTTTTGATGCCGCCTTGCGCGCTGCTACATACAGCATGCGAATAAAGGCTCTTTGCTTCCAAGACATTTCTTGAATTCAGTTTCCTCGATGACGGTCAGTTGTACCTTTCCTGTTCACCAGGAAGTTCGTTTGTGATTACCAGGCGGCACGCCAGTACAGTTTAATCCGCATCATTCGGTGGCAGAAACGTCCACTCTGGCTCCACATTTCTGGCCATAACTGAGATCTGTTCAAAGCGTCGTGCGATGTTTTTTTTTTAAATTTCTTTCTTGTATCCGCTGAAAATAGCGTTTCCCATTTGATTCTCTGGCTGCTTCTGCCACCAAATCTTCCTAAGGCACTCCATTTCTTACAGCGCACCGTGCCAGCAAGTTGGTGATCGGTTGATTGCTCTGCGTCTCTCTTAACTCGAACATTACTGAGCGTCTTTAGTCAGTCTATACGATTATCAAATCGATCATCGACTTCTGTGCACAAGCTTCCCGGTAGCAGGTGTACTGATGCATTTTTCGATGCTCGAAGAAGTGTTCATAATAGATAATTCGTTGTTTGGTTGTTTGTGCTAAACCGCAACAAATTGATGGGTCACTAGAAACCTTCTTTTCAATCACGCCTTTCCGCTTATCAGTGTCTGCTGCGACATGCAGATTAAAATTGCCAGTTGAATGAGGGACTCCGTAGTCGCCACTTCGTACGGAGCACATTCCACTTCCTCACAGAAGGATTCATATTCTCTCTCCAAATTGGGCGCATAGACCTGTTTCTAGGTAAACGCTTAAGCCTGTTACGGCTTCAGTCGCAGGATTGTCACTCTTCCTCTGACATGCTTCCATTCAGTGATTCTGTCAGCCAAGTTGGGCTCTACCTGAAGACGTACACCGGCCTGAGCGCGCGTCATGACGTCGACACCCGAACAGAATTGGCTCATCCCACAGAGGTTCAGAATTCCAGAGCCTTGCGCCTCGTTGACTGGAGTCCAACGGTGTCGAGTTGATACCTTGCAGCCTCATCAGCTAGCTCCTGCTCTTTCGCTCTGAGTGAGGATATGATCCAATTTCGCAGTGTAAGTTCCCACTGACGGTGTCGTTTATATATAGCCTTTAACTTAA